TTAAAAGATCTCTTAGGAATGTCTTTGAATACTAAGTTTTCAGAGGCAAGCACACAAATTTAGACTAAAACTTTGTGTCCTGGCTTCAGTGACATTCACAGGCATTAGTGGTGCCACTGTAGTCACCTTCAATGTTTCAGCTTCTCTACGGCTAATCACAACTGACCAAACTGCTCCCACTGCTATTTGCTTAGTGCTAAATGCACCCTGAGCTGCCCTACACCAATAAAGACACACACATATATATGCACACACAAAGACACCCAGACATTCACATATATTGACTGGCGTGTGCTTAGTGGCCTTAAGGAAAATGAGTAGCTGACAGTTTTGGTGACCTCTTCGGGGACAAAGAGAATATTTACAATGGTTGACACATGGACACAACTTTAAAAAAAAGAAAATCCGTCATCCAGGACTTTTCACAAAACCATTTAAAAAAAGACGCATGCACACACGGTCTACAGTTTTAGGGTTCATTTGTTTCTTTTCTATCCGCTCCCAAGAGTATGACATTGTAGAAACACAACGGCATGTGTTACATTAGTGTGACATTGTATACATTGCAGAAATCCAAAAAAAGAACACTAACACTCGCAGTATCATTTCTATCAGTAAAAAATAAAGACAAGTCAGACAGAAACACGCAGGCTGAAAAAACGTTTCAGCTCAGGAACACAAACTCTCACCAGATCTGCAAGCTCCTGTTAAATAAAGGCTCCTTTGAGACATAGAGAGCCTGCACAGCATGAGCATGCACAGCATTTGTGCTTAGGTTTACATACATTTAAACCCAACAAGCTGTCACACAAGCTGAACTTGGGCAGGTGAGCAAGCTCAAATTTAATTTGTTTTTTTAATGTTTTTATTTCATGGTTATGATCTTCTTCATTATATCAGAATGGCTGCACAGGAGTATTGGCAGTTGGATGGTCTAGCCTATTGTGATGCTAAATTCCTAATCATTAAAAAATTCTATAACCACAACCATTTACAGTACATTGCAAAAATCTAGATTTTTTTCCTATTTCTGAAGGACATAACATTCAGATACTGTTGATGCCTTGTAGATGTTTCTTTTGTCCTCCACTTGTCCATTTTTTAAGGAAACACTGAACACCATACTGAAATATGCCAAGTTTTCAGCTAAAAGCTATTTAGTAATTACATTGTTGGTGCAGAAAACACTATTTCATGGCTGTAAAAATGTGTAATCGTTGGCATTTTTATGTAGATTAAACTAAAGAAATTGGAACAAATGATGTATTTTTGCATCATTATTTAAAAAGTTCCTAAAGATACAATTTAAACTTGGTTCTTTAGTAAGTTGTCTAATGTTCAAACCCAACACTAGTTCATCGCTTGAGCTGGGTGCCTTTTTAAGGCTTATTAAGTCGTAGCCCAGTGTTAAGTAGTTTAACAGACAAGAATAAACATTGCTCTGAAAATGGTCACAGGGACTGGGCTGAAAGTGAGTGAAAAAGCAGCCAACGTCCAAAGAAAAAATTTGAAAGACCTTCGGAAAGTCTGCATAACTGTTGATTAAGACAACTTTAAAAACTATAGGTCTGGCTCCTTGGAAGCAAAATATAAAGGCATGAGGGGTGGCCAAAGACTTTGCACAGTACCGTAGGTACCATAAAAGAAAAGCTGCTGCTTTATAGATAACTAAAGAAGTGCTAGGAAAAGGTGATCTACTGTGCTCATTTCCAGCTCCATGTTTTAATCTCAGACTTTACTAAAGTAGCAGTACATTAACTCACATTTCCTTATTTATCTTATGCTGTGCCTTGATGCAGCCCTTCAATTTATCTACGGTACTTTCTGAGACAAAGTGTTTTGGCTTCCCAGCTTCCTGCTGCCCCTTAGAAAATATGGTCTGAAACACAAGTAGTGGTTCTCTCAGATGGCTATACTTACGATAATTTCTTTTCTTTTCTTGCACAGACCAAAGAGCAGAAAAACCTCTTTAAACCCTTTTAAGTGCATCAGATCATCTGTACATAATCTGAATATAAGCTCATTATTTATATATACAGTGGGGCAAAAAAGTATTTAGTCAGCCACCGATTGTGCAAGTTCCCCCACCTAAAATGATGACAGAGGTCAGTAATTTGCACCAGAGGTACACTTCAACTGTGAGAGACAGAATGTGAAAAAAAAAATCCATGAATCCACATGGTAGGATTTGTAAAGAATTTATTCGTAAATCAGGGTGGAAAATAAGTATTTGGTCAATAACAAAAATACAACTCAATACTTAACCTACAATACATAACCTTTGTTGGCAATAACAGAGGTCAAACGTCTACTATAGGTCTTTACCAGGTTTGCACACACAGTAGCTGGTATTTTGGCCCATTCCTCCATGCAGATCTTCTCGAGAGCAGTGATGTTTTGGGGCTGTCGCCGAGCAACACGGACTTTCAACTCCCGCCACAGATTTTCTATGGGGTTGAGGTCTGGAGACTGGCTAGGCCACTCCAGGACTTTCAAATGCTTCTTACGGAGCCACTCCTTTGTTGCCCGGGCGGTGTGTTTTGGATCATTGTCATGTTGGAAGACCCAGCCTCGTTTCATCTTCAAAGTTCTCACTGATGGAAGGAGGTTTTGGCTCAAAATCTCACGATACATGGCCCCATTCATTCTGTCCTTAACACGGATCAGTGGTCCTGTCCCCTTGGCAGAAAAACAGCCCCATAGCATGATGTTTCCACCCCCATGCTTCACAGTAGGTATGGTGTTCTTGGGATGCAACTCAGTATTCTTCTTCCTCCAAACACGACGAGTTGAGTTTATACCAAAAAGTTCTACTTTGGTTTCATCTGACCACATGACATTCTCCCAATCCTCTGCTGTATCATCCATGTGCTCTCTGGCAAACTTCAGACGGGCCTGGACATGCACTGGCTTCAGCAGCGGAACACGTCTGGCACTGCGGGATTTGATTCCCTGCCGTTGTAGTGTGTTACTGATGGTGACCTTTGTTACTTTGGTCCCAGCTCTCTGCAGGTCATTCACCAGGTCCCCCCGTGTGGTTCTGGGATCTTTGCTCACCGTTCTCATGATCATTTTGACCCCACGGGATGAGATCTTGCGTGGAGCCCCAGATCGAGGGAGATTATCAGTGGTCTTGTATGTCTTCCATTTTCTGATGATTGCTCCCACAGTTGATTTTTTTCACACCAAGCTGCTTGCCTATTGTAGATTCACTCTTCCCAGTCTGGTGCAGGTCTACAATACTTTTCCTGGTGTCCTTCGAAAGCTCTTTGGTCTTGGCCATGGCGGAGTTTGGAGTCTGACTGTTTGAGGCTGTGGACAGGTGTCTTTTATACAGATGATGAGTTCAAACAGGTGCCATTCATACAGGTAACGAGTGGGGGACAGAAAAGCTTCTTACAGAAGACGTTACAGGTCTGTGAGAGCCAGAGATTTTCCTTGTTTGAGGTGACCAAATACTTATTTTCCACCCTAATTTAAGAATAAATTCTTTACAAATCCTACCATGTGGATTCATGGATTTTTTTTTCACATTCTGTCTCTCACAGTTGAAGTGTACCTCTGGTGCAAATTACTGACCTCTGTCATCATTTTAAGTGGGGGAACTTGCACAATCGGTGGCTGACTAAATACTTTTTTGCCCCACTGTACATACATTACACATGTGTATATATATATATATATATATAGCAGAAATTTTGGCTTTTCGGGCAAAAATGAGGCTAAACTGGGTATCATTTCACTTAACCAAATGAAAAAATGAACGCCTCTAGTCAAAACTCTAAGAGGAACTCTAGGAACTCCAACCCCTGGAGTATCATGCTCAATGCTACAACAAAGTACTCAAAGAAACCCGAGAACAAGTTTGACATCAGTTCTTCTTTCTCAATATGCTGAAAAAGACAGCGATTTATCTTTTCAGACATATTTAATAATTGTTTGTGGTGTTGGAGGAAAGAAAGCTTGTCATACGGCAGATCTGTTGCATAACTTTGCCTTCAATTCATCCACAAGATCTGCATCCCCAGGTACACACAAATAAATCAGACTATGCCAGAAAGTGGCAGTATGTCTGATTATGACTAAGCCGCTGCCCAGGACACACACAATGCATAGTAAAAGTGTTTGCTAAGATACACCCTTACCCTGTCGTCCTTGACCATGTCCTTTTCAAACCTCATCTCTGTCAGACAGCTTGACAGAGAGACAAGGAAAACAGAGCTGGCTGTTTCCAAAGCTCTTTGAACTTTAAGACCGACAGGCACTATTCAGTGAATTCAATATAAATCTGACTCGACAGCATCCATTCTCACCATAAATAACACACTTCAAATAGTGAACAAAAAAAATTGAAGGGTCACAGCACATTTTCTAATCTGGAACTTCAGCGTTTGGTTGGGTTTACATCCATCTGCCGCGTCTATTCACCATCCCCATTCTTGAGAAACAGGTTTTGTGATCCCATTTTTAAATTAATGTCTCCATATCAAATAATTGATCCTAAGATTGATGACAAAATATTGTGTGCATTTCTCTATTGAGACACAACTGAATAGCTCTGAATGTGCTATAAAAGAGGACATCAGAAAAATATATGGCCTATTCATTTTAATAAATGAAGACTGAGTGCTTTTTAAAAGTGTTTGCTTGTAACTTAAAGAATGCCTTATCCTGACTGTGACAAATCCTGGAGCTTGCAAACCCACTAATAGAGGAGCAGTGGCGTTTGACAGCTGTCCAATGAGAAATTGCAGGGCTTGCTTTCCACCCAAACCAATGACAGGAATACAAATTTTTGTTCAAAGTGCAGGGGAGCTAAGGTTTAAAGCCAGAGAAGATCCGTCTTCTTTTCTGTTAGCCCATGTGTTTTCCACCCACGTATGATTGAGTCATTTAAACATCTAAATATCAAACGCGGGAAAAGAGGGCACTCATTAACAGCAGCTATCACTGACAATAGGGGTGTCATGGGCTATGCATGATGCATCAAAGAGCTGATTTACAAACTACAAGTGAGGGTGGGAGTAAGGGGTGCATTAGCTGAGACGGGTTAAACAAAAGAGAGTTCTCATTCTTTCTATTTTTCTCTCTGTCCCTTTCACTCTCACTCACTGTCCATCTCACTCTCTCATCACATATTTAGTTCTGGCACTAAGAGCCACAGATTGACAAGCAGCAAGAGCAAAGCCACTCAACATGGCAGCTAAATGCATGGTGGGAGTACAAAGCAGTGCTACTCTGTCCGTGCCTGACAACACTGACTTCTACACGATAAAATGAAGCACTTGATGATAAGGGAAAACTTGGCATGTTCTTACTGTATCGTGTCCTTCGATAGTAAAAGGCATTAGCATTTCACATGCTTAGGGAAAAAAACTCTAAGTTAAAAAAAAGAAAAACTTTCCAGAAGACATTAAAATATATATATATAGGTCTGGGAGGAAGAAAGCTGTATTTTCTTTTGACACTTTTTATGTACTCCTGACTCCCCTGCATGCTTTTCCTTCCTCTCTTCGCTTCACTTCCACTTCCCTCTCCCTTCACTTTCTGCTCTAACAAGCAGTCTGATTTCCCCTGGAAAATCTACACTCAGTAAACGTTCTCACTGGCTCTGATGCTCCTTACTGAGGTATTAATACTCCAGGGAATAAAAACCCCAAATACTATTACAGGCATTTGTATGGATCAGTACATGCACTGTAAAACTGTTTTGCTGATGAGTACACAGCATACATAGAGTATGCAAATATATAAATGTAGCTGTTTAAAGCTTGCAATTACAAAAATTAACCATTTTATTTAATGCACAGTTTTCTAATAGCATGATGATCACAACATGATCATCGCCTGTCCTTGTTGTATTGTTTACTTTTGCCACATCTGCTTGGTGGCTTTTATTTAAAACTATTCATGTATGCAGTGAATGGTTTGACAGGCAATACTAACTCTGGGAAACTAGGTTTCCTATTCAAAATTAAAATATGGATGTGTCAAATAAAATATAAACAACAGCGATAACTGCAAAAGCTGTATATTTATTTTAAGATGGGATTAGAAAAAAACTGCCATGTGAAGAAGAAAGAGAACGCGAAGGCTCACTACCTGCAAGTATATTAAGTCTCATTCACTATATGTAGGGAAGAGCAAATGAGGGTCTGGTTTCAGCATGAAGGTTCAGCATTTCAGCACCATGGACAGACACTGAACTGTTAGGTTTAAAAGCTTCAGTATGATGGACAAAAGCAGAGACTGCAATGATGCAATCATGACTGGTGGAAAAGAAAGAGTTCTTAGTCACACTTTTTCAGGTTTTCATGAAAACGTATTGATGACAGTAGCTATAAATGTTTAAGCATACAACCATGTGCCCACAACACAACTGTTTATCTGATTTAACAAAAAAAAAAAAAAAAAAAGCAAATTGTAAGATCTTATTGATGTGCTCATGTTATTAATTTTCAAGTTTTACATTTAATGACATGCACCTTTTTGGGGAAGGAGGAGGCACTGTGGATGTTTTGTGCATTTGTATCTGTGCTATCTTCAGTAGTTAGCCCCTAACATTCAGACAATACTCACAGTTAAGACTAAAATTTAAGTTGCACAGCTATAGTACATGACCCAATATGCACTAAAATGAGGCGTCCTATTTTCACATTTGCTATTTGATTCATTTTATCCCTGGGTGAGTGAGTCATGGCTTCTTGTTTGAATCAACATGTCTTCAGCAGCAGTTTCACACTGCAGGAAAGTTGGAGTGTGCATGCTTATTTTGGGTCAGGCCTCCTTAAATAAGTCATAGTGATTTCTCCGTACTTGGGAAGGATGGGGCTGTTGTGCAGGAGAGCCTTGATCAATGTTAGCCGCTCAGCACTGGATGAGTTGTACAGAGCGGCCTGAGGCCCAGCCAATGTGGCTGCCATGCTGCCCTCATTACAGTAATGATCTCCCAGTACACAGCTCCCACGTGAGGCCCCATTAACACAGTGACTGTCGCTATACCTCGCACGCTCTTTGAATTTCTTTCTGTAACAAACATTTTCGCATTGACTCAAGAACTGACAAGTGGCCATACTTTCTCTACAAATTGCAATTAAACAAATCAAATAAAAACCTAGGCAAGCCATCTTGAAAGGCATGTGAAAATATTTCCTATGCAAAAACTTAGATGTTGATATTCTAAGCATGGCACTATGGGTTATTGGATTTTCACTTTACATAAATAGGCTTAGAAATTGATCTTGTGTCACACCTGTGTCTTCGTCAATCGTAAAAGTGCCCAGGCCGCTGCCACCTTGGATAGAGTACTTCAGCACGCCATCTCGTCCCTTGTCGTCATCTTTAGCGTTGACAGTCATGACACTTGTTCCTGCACGAGAGTTCTCCTTCACTGAGCCTCTCACAGCAAAGTCGGAGAAGTAAGGCGCATACAAATTCTCATTGACATCCACCACCTGAAGAAATGTAATGGTGCACATTAATTATGACAGAAAAACTGTGTGATATTATCTGTAGTATGCAATTGTGTGGCATCAGTAGACCATCTGTATATTTCACTTTTGTACACGTTATTCCCTGTCTTGGAAGTTAAATGTACCGTGAGCTAAATACTGTCACGCATTTAATCATCTATCTAACCGGTGTCATAAAAATGAGTGAAGAATTAAAGGAAGAAAGATCTAAAAAAATACAATTGGACATCTTGTCAACAACTGCAACCTTGAAAATAACCAACCAAATCATCAATGATAATGTAAATTGACAAAATTGATCATTGGATTTTTTTTCTGGACAGCACACAAGAGAGGTAAAGAAAAGAGTGCAGTGGGTGGAGAAAAGCCTCAGGGGTGATTTGCCAATGAAGAATAACAATAAGAGTTAAAGGGAAGGTTCACAAAATGGTAGCGAGACCTGTTTTGATGTATGGTTTGGAGACGGTGGCACTAACAAAAAGACTGGAACCTTAACACCCCAAATTATTGATAATAATGTAAGCTGACAAAATTGATTATTTGCATTTGGGAGGCAGGGCTGGAGGTGGCAGAGCTGAAGATCACTGGGAGTATCCAGAATGGACAAGATTAGAAAAAAGTATGTCAAAGGAACGGGTCCGGTTAAGCGGTTTGGAGGCGAAGTCAGAGAGGCAAGACTGAGACTGTTTAGATGTGTGGAGAGGAGGGATGATGAAATTATTTTACAAAGGATGTTAGATATGGAGTTGCCAGTTAGGATCACACACAAGATTTATGGATGAAGTAAAGGAGGACATGTAGCGGATTGATGTGACAGGTGCTAGGGATAGGGTGAGATAGAGGCAGATGATCTGCTATGGTGATCCCTGAGATGTAGAATGTTTGAGCATGTGTGCTACGCACCTCTACCTCCACAAACGTCTGGCTCCTAAGGCTGGGGATTCCTCTGTCTTCAGCAAGCAACGTCAGGTTGAAAAACTGTTGTTTCTCAAAGTCCAACTCCTTTCTAATTCTCAATACCCCACTTATAAGACCGATCTATAAAAAAGAATTACATCATAAACAATCTATACTTCAATAAATGTAAAAATAAAAATCTTAACGTGTGCAAGATTCTGTTCACACTGTGTCATCACCTACCTCAAAAGTGCCATTAAAGTCATTGATTAAGGAATATCGAACTTGTCCTCCAGGTCCAATGTCTGGGTCCTGAGCCTGCACCCAGGTAATCACAGTCCCGGGCGGGAGATCCTCTAGTACTCGAGCACTATAGCTGGTAGGGATGAAAGCTGGAGCGCAATCATTGACATCCTCCAAGATTACACTTAGAGTAGTCACTGAGGACCTTCGAGTGCCTCTTTCAGCCATGTCTCTGACTTCAATCTTCAATATGAATATTGGAAATGTTTCTCTATCCAGCTGGCTAGCAACAAATACACTTCCAGTTTCACTGTCAATCCCAAACTGAGGAACACTGGTGAGCATTATATAGGAGAGCTGTCCATTCTGACCCATGTCTCTGTCAAATGCAGTGATGGTTATAACCTCCATGCCAATGGCTGAGTTTTCTGAAACAAGGGCAGAGTAGCTGTCCTGATAAAACTGAGGGTCATTGTCGTTTGTATCCTCAATGATCACTGTCAGTAATCTCCAACTGGACATCTGAGGAATGCCCTGATCATAGATGGTGATATTAAGGAAGTAACGATCCACTCGTTCACGGTCGAGTGGCCGCAGTATAGTTATCAGCCCACTCTCCATGTTTATATTGAAGCAGTTTTCTTTGTTACCATCAGAAATGGAAAAGAGAACGCGGCCATTAAAGCCTGTGTCACCATCTCGCGCTCGCACCTGAAATACACTGGCACCGGGAATGAGGTCTTCTCTCACGAGAATGCTTGTAGGCAAGGCTTCAAACTGTGGAGGCTGTTTGTTCGTAGAGAAAATATCTGTGTAGCTCTCATCTGGTCTCGGTCTAGCCATAGCAGATGCCTTTGAGAGCATTTTTTCTGCCAAAAGCTGGGCTACCCTTGTGTCCTTGCAGTTGAACCCTCTGGGGGGAATCCTACCCCTCACCACTGATATATTCACAAATGTGGGATCAGAGAACATCTCTCCATCTGTTGCAACAACTTTGAAGTTGAATACACCACTTTTTAAACTATCCACTGCTAACGATCTTTTCAGTGACAAAGCCCCAGAGTCTGGATTTAAGTTAAAATAATCTAACTCATTCCCAGAGAGTATCTTGTACTCAACTAGTCCTAGCTCGTCCATGTCAATTGCTGACAAGGTGACAACAGTCTGGTTGACAGGGAAATCACGGCTTATCATCCCTCTGCAAGAAACCTTCTCAAAAAGAGGCTGATTGTCGTTGATATTTATTACACGTATGGTGATATTAACCTCACTCTCCCTTCTGTAGGGTGAACCCCAGTCAGAGGCACGCACTGCGAAAGTGTAGATATCATCTGATGATTCAAAGTCCAGATCTCTAGTAATTCTCACCTCCCCTGTTTTCTGGTCTATGCTAAATGGAAGAGACTGTTCACCACTAATAGTGTGACTTACATACCCATTCTCCCCTTTATCATCATCCACAGCAGAGACCACAAGGACAACAGTACCTACAGGTACGCTCTCGTTGACGACAATATTGTAGAATGGCTTGTTGAACACTGGAGAGTTGTCATTAGCATCCTCAATTTGAATTTGGACACTTGTTCGCTGCTCACTTATCATATCAACTACCTCCATCACCATGAAATCCTGTGATATCCTTGTAAGCTGCCTGGTGGTCATAATAACTCCAGTCAAAGGGTTTATATCAAAGTACACTGGATCTGAAGGGTTGCTGAAGCTGTAATTGACTCTCAGAGGAGCCGGGGATATTTTCACCACCGCTATAACAGAGCCTGGGGGAGCGATTTCACTCAGCGTGACTATATAAACATCTTTTTCGAAACTCGCCATCACTGGGTCCGGTTTTGTAACCAACAACTGAACAATTTGGGTATTAGAAAACTTGGGAGGCATACCTCTGTCCTTGGCCTGAAATGTTAAGTTGCAGCCATAGGGGAATGTATCCCAGCTGACAGCTTCCGACGTTTTAACTCTGTACTCGTTCCCAACAGGCGAACGATCAACCACAAACTGCTCGAAGGGATCCCCCTCAATGATGGACACCCACTCTATATCTCCGGATATTCCTTCATCTTTGTCCTCCACATTAATTACTGCATACACGGGATTCTTTTCTTCCCACGATGGAACAACAGCGACTGCACTAAGAACGGGAGCAAATTCATTTACTCGCTGCACAGTTAGTACAAGCCTTGCTGTGCTGCTGATACCACTGTTCCCATAGAGTTTCATCCCTCTGTCAACCACCTGTACCTCCAGCTCAAATCGGTCCTGTTTGTCCATCCTTGGTCGACCAGTCAGGGTGATGACCCCGCTCGTCGGATGAACAGCAAAAAGATCTATTTTATTCTTGAAAAAGTAGTAAAACTCTCCATTCGAGCCTACGTCAGCATCTGTGGCTGTCACACGTCCTATGCTGGCACCCAGAGGGGCACTCTCAGAAACAACAAATGCGTAGGAAGTTGGGGAAAATAGAGGTCGAAGGTCATTTGTATCCAAGACCTTGATATAAACAGTGGTTAAAGCCTCTAGGCCTCCTGGGGCCGAGGCCTTAACTGTCAGAGTGTAATTATCCTGTACTTCCCGATTCAGTATAGCACCACTACCTCCATTAGTGCATATGCGGAGAAAACAAAAATCTCCCATTACAAAATCTTCAGCCTGAAAGATGCCTTCACTGTCTCCCAACACAATGGAGTATTTTATCTCAAAAGACCAAGGTGGCCCGAGAATGATGCCCATTTTGGCCTCACTTTTGGTATAGGTTCTTGCAGCAGAGTTCTCAAAAATGGACACATTATATGCAGGCTGAGTGAAGAGCAGCAAGCGTTGCCCTGCTCTAGAATCTGTCAGAAGCTGGGCACGGGTTGAGTGGAAACATATGAAGAGGAAGAAGAAAAAGAAAATAAAAAGGAAAGGAAGAGAGAAGCTGGGCAGGGGGTGCATATTTCCCCACCGATTGGGCTTCATCACTATCCCATCATCCAGTCACCCTGTATTTGGAAAGAATCACAATTAAAATAGAGGACTTGATTTTAGTTGGTCATTCAGTAGGAATGTGTGTTCTGCTGATAAAAAAAAAAAAAACTTTGGATGATCAGGCACAAAAACATTTTAGAGGGAGTTATTATCACTACATTGATATGATGATGCTCACACTTTGCATTGAAACAATGAGAAAGGCTGTGAGGCAACGAATCAACTTCAAACCACAGCTCATTTGCACAGTCTCACAGAAACACATCATGTCATCTAAATAAAATAACAGGGGTCATAATAATAAAGACTCCTTTAACAGAGACAAGCAGGGCTGTGATATTTTCAGAAAGTAGAACATAATTACAACAAACACATCATTGTGAAAGCACAGACAACCAATTAAAAAACCAATTTAACAAGTGTCAGGCAACAAAAAGGGCAAAATAATAAAAACAAAGAAGTTTAAAAATCTTTTCTTCTTCTGTTGCCTACAAATTTTTATTGCTGTTTTTTAACTATTGCTTTAGATACCGTGCCATTCACCTAAACCATAGGTCTCTACATGATCGTGACTCAACTTCGAGAAACACTGAAATATATCGGATCTATAGATAGGACTGTACCAGCAATAAATAAATAAATAAATAAATCTTCAACCACAATCCAGCGATTTAACATCAACATCCCTGCTGAGAGGCTATGCCGGGAGATCTGCACAATCGTGTCCTGCAGTAATCCAGTGAAACGCGTCTCTGCAAAATCCACGAGTTTATTAACTTACACTTTGTTGCTACAGTGTGTCGCTTAAGTACCGGTACTGCATACATTTGTACAGACTTCACTTACACATTGCAAAGTGACCTACCTTTAGATGAAACCGATGCAATCAGTGAAATTAAATCCTGTCCCATTCTCACTCAATAATTACAAAAAAGAAAAGAAAGAAAGGCAAAATGGCCGCTTATGGATGCGCGAAAAAAAGCCTTTAGATATATCCCGATAGGCAGTTATCTAGTACACTGCAGCTATCCTCGTAAAACTATATAGCTATTGCCCCCGTTCCATGCACCTGATAACTGTAAGCCTGAGTGCAGAGGGCTATCCCGGCTTGCATTTGCAATAGTTACAACCAAACTAAGATTAGATAAGTTCTACATTCGTTTTCTATAAGGTTAAAGTCCGAGAGAGATGTGAACCAGAGAAGATGTCGCTTATTGCAAGTTTGGAAGCGGCCAGCATCAGCTGTCGCCTGTGTGGGACCGGAGTGCGCTCACAGGCTGGAGGTGGTGGCGGGCAAGCGCCGATCTTTGCCGAGTGCAGCCGACAACATCCGGAAGTGTAATGTTCAACACCTTAAAGCAAACGGCGGCGAGCTCTCTGACACACGAGCTCTGTAGTGGTTAGTTAGAAATCTGATCATTCGTTGTACTTCTCCCATCAGTCACTATGTCTGTTTTGTGTTATAATAAGGGATGTGGACAACGATTTGATCCAGAAAATAACCCAGCCGGTGAGTGGTCTTACTTTACTATCGATGTCCATTGTATGTTCCCTGAGTGTTAGCAAGCTAACCTCTCATCATCTGGAAATTTCTACCGTGAGCAGGCCCGATGGGCCCGTGTTGCTAACCTTATGTCAGTTAGCTGTTCAACTTAATTCATTCGTTTCCTTCGTTTTATATCTGATAAATAACACACGGGCCCTCTGTGAGTTAGTTTTATCATGCTGTAGTTAGCATGTTAAGCTCCTGCGATTAAAAGGCAATGTTAGACTTTGCGGGACGGTTGTGCGGACGCTGTAAGCGGTTTAAAGTTTCAGAAAGCCGGTTCCTTCCACATAAAGTATCTAAAGATCGTTATTCACGTATACAACGTTACATGTGTAGCCATACAAGTAGTGTGAATGCGGCAGTCACATTTTCAATTCAACGTTGGAAGTTTTAATCACTTGCTTACAATCGGCATCCCTTATAGTGATCTTAGTTCATCCGGCTGGTAATTATGTGACTGAATTATTAATTATTGTGAGTCGTTGAACTTTTCCACTTGGCTTTAGAAGAAAGTAGATGCTAGCTGGCTTTTAACTGCTTTCCATAATCAATGCAAACAATTTAAAGAGAAAACTGAAGAGACGAGTGGGACCAGTAGGCAGTTAACTACTTATTAAAAGAGTCACCACAGTGTGCAAGAAAATATATACAAGAAAAGCCTTAAAAAATACCAGCACCACAACGGGGAGGGAGGGGGGGCTAACCTTAAAATACAAGTAAATACATGCACATTTAGGTAACAAGTGCTTCTGTATTATGAAACGTATTTGTGATTAAATCAGTTACAAACACAGATAACACTGCACCAACTAAAAGTGATGAGCTCCCTTGTGACTTTTGGGGTTACTGAGGTTGGCTGTCTGACCCTGATGTTGGAAGTTGAACTAATAATCATTCTCATAACTCGGATGATACTCCATCTGCTGGTTAGTCTACATGGTTTCTATATTTGATAGTGTTTTCTGTACTTGGAGCATGTTTCAATAAGCAGTTGTATATCCCGCATGTCTTCCCTTGACAGTCAAAGATGTAAAATTAGTAGGGGGAAACTACTTCCTCCGCGATACACACAGTGAATGAAAAGAAGTGCAATGTATTTATCATTATCTTTTTTTTTCTGACTGTCAGGCTTACCCTTGAGGGAAGCCAAACTGTGTTTTGAGCCCAGAGTGTTCACTGCCAGCAGCTAAACATCGATATGTGAAAGCGAGAGCAGGTGGAGCAACCAGTTAGAAATCAGGACATTTTACACAGGCAAACATGATGTGTTTGCATGTAGCCAGAAGAGGTACATGTAAACACCTTTTTTAAATTTTAGCAAAATATAGATCTACGACATAGACCTTAAAAATTTAAAGGAGGCCCAAAGATCATTTGGTGTTTCCAGCCTGTTATACAGTTAAAGTCCAGTTTTTATTTGACATATGGTGAATTTGTGATTATTAATATTTCATGCATGTAAAGGATAACTAATTAAATTCTACCCTTTTTTGTCTTCTTTAAAAAATGTGCATTTTCAGTCACCTTACAAAACCCACAAATACTGTGGAGTAGGAAGACGATCGCTGTCATTATAAGCCACACCATTCTCCTTGTAACAGATGTGGTGTTCGTGTTTATATGAAGCCACATTGAAAAATAAATAAATAAAATTCAAGATCGCAATTTTGTCTTCAGCTCCCACGACAGAAACCTCAACGTGACTTATTTCCTTTCTTTAGAATGGTCCACCTCTATCCTCAAGTAATCTAACATTGTGTACACCCCCTGTGTAGGAGTCCAGTCTGATTTCCATTTTAATGGGCTGCTTCTTTTCTCATAACGGTAGAGTATATTATCTTTACCTTCAGAGGTATGCAAGAGGTGTGTCAAAGTCAGGAAGCACAGATTGGGCACAGCTCCGGCTGTACTACAGGGAAAATGCTTGATTTATGGTACCCACCGGCCAATTTCCTTTATTCGTTCTGCAGCGATTTATTTTTAAAGAGTAGATGATGAAAATAGAATACGAGTTACAGTAAAACCTCAAATAATGATGATGGTAGTGTGACTAAAGTGCATCACAAATCTGTTATTTTCAAATAGTCATACTCATTTTAATATATTGGTTAAATGTGTATGTATATATTGTACTTTGTGCTTTGTAGATTGCTCAAGTAATTAAAATTTGTTTTTTGAACACTAAGGATGTTCGTGCCATTCTGTCTTTCCGGTAAACACTTCTTGTAGTTATTGGTATATATGTTGTTGTTGTTGTTGTTTTAATCCTACAGTTTACATATGCACATATTAGAATGTCAGTTCAAATTTTTTGCATTATGTCTTTAAATCATTCTGAGTACCTTTTAATAAATACTCTGAGTGGCCAAACTTGACCGCAAACTACCCATCATTACATAAAGCTCCCTAAAGCGTTCAGGCTACTTTTCTACAACTACAGTCAGCATTTTTCAAAACAAACGTACACTTTTCCACAGCGGCTATTTAGAGCAGACTTGTAAACAGTCATTGTTCCCACAACTACACGATTTCTCCCCAAAGTTAATCAAAGATGCATTTTGTTTTCACAGATGGCTGCACCTATCATCCAGGAGTCCCAGTATTCCACGATGCCTTGAAGGTAAAGCACCCGAAAATGCACAGCTAGCTTGTGTCCTCTTCCTGTTATTTGATCAAAGCTAATGTTTCTGTTATTTCCTTCAGGGATGGTCTTGCTGCAAGAGAAGAACTACTGACTTCTCAGACTTCCTCAGCATTGTTGTAAGTTCTCTGTTTAACCTTAGTCGTTTTCTCTGCTCTATTCTCCATGGTGATGCCTCTGTTGTCTGTTGTTTCATAGTTATTGACTGGCACCTTTGCCATGGCCAAAACAGCCTGAGCTTTTATTTTGTGCGAGTCCAACACGGTGACCTTCTCCTCACAGGGCTGTACAAAAGGTCCCCACAACAAAGAGAAGCCCCCTGAGCCGGTGAAACCAGATGTGACATCTTCAGGAGAAAAGAAGGAGTTAGAGGACCAAAAGCCAAAGTTTAATGAGTACATCATCTCTGCACCGAAACCTCAGGAGGCGATATGCAGACCAAGGTTGGCATCAGCCATATTTTTATGTTTTTTAATGCTTTCATGTGAGCGATAGCCATTTCTGGAGGCATCATGTTTCTGTGTTGTCATTTTTGTGTGTGTGTGTGTGTGTGTGTGTGTGTGCGCGCGCGTGTGTGTGTGTGTGTGTGTGTGTGTTCTGTGTTGCACTTGGACCTAAGGCTGAACGGATTACTGTTTGATTAAATCTAAAGTCAAGGCAACTAAATTGTCATGAAAAATAAGCTCTGTTTACGGGGTATTTTTAGGACTTAAATCTTCAATGCTAAGCTAAGCATCAACGGGATACTCTGAAGTGTTCTTACCAAGGTTTGGGGTTTTGTTTTATAACCTGGGTGGTTTCCCCCACTGTTAAAAGAAAGTGGACAGGCTCAAGCACCTAACACTGAAATATTAAAGCCCTTCTCAAGCAGAGTATAGATCCTAGATTGGGTTTGCACCAAAAATCACCCTTCCAAATGATTACTGCACACAGAAGCACATTTTTGTTTTGTTTTCCTTATAGTATTTTAATATATATTTGTTGTCATAGTCCTGATGAGCCAGCGGTGAGATTGCAGCATAAAGTCTCTGCATCTCTGAAGCAGGCACTGGAGAAACTTAAACTAACTGAAAATGCTGAAGAGACAAAAGGTAAGAGCTGAATTTGTTTTTTGTTTTTTTCTGTTTCTCTCATTACCTCTTACATTTTAGACAGAAAGGTGATGGTGTCAGTAGGACTTCTGCTGGGAAGCTGCCATCGTCTGTGTCATTCACATAATAGAATTTGAGTTAAAGCTTCATAAGAGTCAATGTACTGTTTTATAATTTTCTTCATGGGCTCAATTATTTTCTCTTTATAGAGGAAGAAAGTGACGAGATCAAAATTGGAACGTCCTGTAAAAACGGAGGCTGTACTAAAGTAAGTACTAACAGCAGCTTTAATGTATGAAGTCACATTTGTTTCATAGGTTGTATTGTTTCTTTGTAAGTATATGTGTAATTCCGAGTTGTTCGTGATAAATAGTATTGCAAAACTGCTCTCTGAAAAAGGGGAAGTGGATCTTTTTCCTCTGTCTCTGCATTTTCTCTGAGATAGATATAAAGCTAAGTTTTTGGGGGCTCAAGCTAATCGAGTCTGTCAGAGCAGAAACTCTAACATTAGAACAGAAATTATGAGTAAAATTGTCATTGACATGCGTAGTAGAAGCTTAGAGTGGGATTGTAGTGATTTACATAATTGTACTTTAACTTGTTTGCTTGAAAGCCACAACACATTTTCTCAAGGGTTTCTTGCTTTTAGTTTATCCATAAGATTGGGTCTTTGTAGAAGCCTGGATTGGTACTTTTTTGGACTTTTAGCAGGAACTATTTTTCTAAAACATTGGTACATAGACTATTACAGTGGAAATGATCATTTGCTGAGTTGCAAAGTAATTAAGAGACTGTCATTTCCAGAAAAAAAATGCATAAAAGTTCTAAATTGTTTTTGAATGTCATTGGGTGAAAAAAGTATTTAATCTCCCCAAAACACATGAATTAGTACTTTGTGGAAAAACCCTTGTTGGCAAGCACAGCAGTAAGATGTTTCCTGTATTTGGTCACCAGGTTTGCACATATCTCAGAAGTGATTTTTTTTTTTTCTCACGCCTTATTACAGAAACTCCGTCCTTTTGTTTTCTATGCTCCTAATAAGCAACTCCAAGCTTCAGCTCTCTCCATAGATTTTCTATAGGACTGGGGTATAAAGACCAGCTAGCCACTCCTTTGTTGTGTTAGCAGTATATTTTGGGTCTTTGTAATTCTGGAATATTCATCTTCAGTGTTCTGGCTGATTGAAGGAGGTTCTTGTCCAACATTTGACAGTATCACAATAAAATACTTAATTCTAATTAGAATTAGACTCTAATCACTTCTAACTTTTATGTAATGTGGGATTTTTTTGTTTGTTTGTTTCCATGGATTTATGGTTGATATTCTGTCTCTCTCCATTAAATATGAAACTACTATAAAAATTGGAGGCTGTTTATTTCTTTTCAGTGAGCAAACTTCCAAATTCAGCGGGGCATCAAATAATTATTTCCCCCGCTGAGCTTTAGATTTTTATAAGCAGGACAGTTGAGGAAGTTGTTGTTGGGCGCCTTCAGACTCAACAAGAGTTGAAGTAACAAAGTTGGAATTCTTAAACTTTAACTCAAGACATTTAATGGTTAAAAAAAGAGCTAATTGCCTCATTTGCATTTTTTTTTCGCCTGACAAAAAAGCAAAAAAAGTGTTTGTGTTTGTTGAGGGCTCAACTGTTCTTGTTATCCTCAGAGTTTTGAAGGACCTGCAAGTGATTCGGATGTGTGCCTATACCATGCTGGATTTCCCATCTTTCACGAAGGGTTAGTATTACTGATCGCGTTTTCAAATTATTATGTAGAGTGTGTTAAATTCACCCGATTCCTTTCCAAATGTGTTTCTTACATTAATGCAGAATATTAGATCTGCTCTCTGTAAAAGAAACATGAAGGCACCATTATGATTCTCCTGTTAGTCTTGTTTACCTTTTCTCTTGAGTGACAAGTTATTGACTGCTAAAAATCCAGCAGGTGTTATATCTTTCCTGCATCTCCAGGATGAAATACTGGAGCTGCTGTAAAAGGAAAACCTCAGACTTTAATACCTTCCTCTCTCAAGAGGGCTGTACAAAGGGAACACATCTATGGAGGAAAAAAGATGCGGTAGGTGTGCCAGCTTGGCAGCAAGTAATCATTTATGTGTGCAGGCCTGCATAAAGGAAACTCACCTGTGACTCCATCTAGTGGTGTCTGCTGGCGGAGGCTGAAGAGCTGAATTTGAACATTTGTCTTGTATGAAAATTCTTTACAGGGTAAGAAGGTGGTCCCGTGTCGGTTTGACTGGCACCAGACTGGGACGCAGGTCATCATTTCTATCTATGCCAAGAATGCAGTCCCAGAGCTAAGCTATGTGGATGCCAACAGCACTACGGTGAGTCTATCCGATCGTTCCTCTTCATATCAAAACATCTTGGGTTTGGATTTTTTTCCTTCTTAATATCTAATGCTGATTTTTGCTTTTCTCCTTCAGCTCGACATACACATTATATTTGATGGAGAGAAGGAATTTGAGCAGAAAATCAGCCTTTGGGGAGTAAGTCTTATTTATTATCATGTTATTAGTCTGCACTACATTTCATTCAGTTTGAACTCATTTATTTTCTTTAATTGTAATGTAATTGAAACCAACAGGGAAAAACAGCAAATTTAATTTAATTTTTTTTTTTTTCTTTCGCACCCTGTTTGTTAACGGAGTCTTTTGTCTTGCAGGTGATAGACGTGAGTAAAAGTTTGGTGAACATGATGGCGGCCAAGATCGAGGTAGCCATGAAGAAGTCCGAGGCGATGTCCTGGGCCCGTCTGGACCTTCCTCCTCCTCCTGCTCCACCCAAGGAGAGCGAGAAGCAAAAATCTGACAGTGAGGACGAGGATGAAGATGAAGATGACTGATAAGATTGAAAATAAAGACATGTATGTTTAACTGAACCCAAGGTCACATGCCTCACAGTTAATTCGTTACCTCTTTAACTTTAGCCTTTCTTTGACAACATCAGTGTTTTTGTCTTTCAAATTAAAGAACTTGATTTTTCTCCCTCCCTCCCTTGTGGGGGTTTTTTTCCGGGGGGGGGGGCAACTTGTAGTAACAGAATCTTTCGTTATTTTTTTTTTTTTTTCCACAGTGATTTAAAAACTGAGTTTCAGCAGGCTTCCAGTCAAGTCCCAGCTAAATTGCACTGAAGTCCCTGGAAAATTACATCATGCCTTAAAATAAGTTGTCAGTTTTAATTCTGCTCACTTTCACACCCATGCAGACCCATGTCACACTAATGGACCGTGGCTGTGACCAGATCTCATATTTTCAGGAATAAAATCATTTTTGTTTTTCATAAATTCAATACATCAGACCAAAAAGCTGCCCCGGATTGTCTTGATTTGTCCGCTTACATCAATATGTTATCCAAACTTGTGTTTTATGAAATGTATTCTGAATCAATTGTGAGACGAGAACTATCACAGCTGAATTATCTTGAGATATACTTTGGAGATGCACTCTAACTATCCATACTTTTCTCAGTAAAAATTGTAAATTTGCTCCAAATTATGTTTTTTACTTCACTACACTCAATGTAAATTTTGTACAAGTTTTGCTTTCAGATACTGTATTTATCTTATTTCTTGTCAAAACAAAGTAGTCTGGTTTTAATGAGGATGTACTGTAATGCCAATTAAATACAAAGTATTTTAAGCAAAATATTGTATCATAAAATGCTATGCTAGAAAGCATGTGTCTAGGCTTAGATTGTATGAAGTGTTATTTGGCAAAAGGAGAAGCAATGGAAAAGTAAAGTTCTAGGAAAGGGAACCAGTTTGTCTGACCAAAAAATAAATAAACTTCTGAGATTAAATTTTAAAACTGGAGTGGTTGTCTATGGTTTGAATTCTAACATATACACCTTGCTAAATAAACCTTTTGTCTTTAGAACAGCCTTTATTCTTCATGGCATAAATTCACCAAGGACCTGGAAACCCTCCTGATATTTTGGTTCATATTGACATGATTGCATCAGTACAAGCATAATGTGAATTTTCCATTCCACCACATCCCAGTGGTACTCTATTAAATTGAGGCCGCGTTGCTATTTTCAAGAAACCGGTGTGAGATAATTTGAGGTTTGTGATGAGATGTGTTATCCTGCTGGAAGTGTCCATCAGAGGGTGGATACGCTCAGGTAGGCTGTGGTATTTGAACAATTATCACTTGGTACTAATAGACTCAAAGTTTGCCAACATAAAACTAGCCATTCTTGGCTCACAGCAGTGACCCTGTCTGCTGCTCAGACAGGGCACTCAGCACCGGGTCTCCACAAGGATGTGTTTTGAGTCCCCTCCTGTTTACGCTCTACACATCCGACTGCTCCCCTACCCATCTCTCAAACACCATCATAAAGTTCG